AGATGAATGGGGCCCTTTGTGAGAGGACATCCCCCCCACCCCTCCCTCTATTTTCCCCCTCTCCCTGCGTGCTTATATACGCATGCACCAATGGGTGGTAATAAGCCACAGATATATAGCTCCCACTGCACCCGCTGGCTGGGTTTGGGCCTGTAAGCAGGTGAATTTCAGGCAGATTAGCGGCGCATGTCCCGCCTTAGCCCCCAACATCGCCTCATAAGCTCCCCAAATCAAAGATGACGCAAAGACTTTTATTGCAAATGGGATTTAAGAGCAAATATAAGGCGGTCGAGTAGCTGTGTACTCCATGCCAGTGAACCACCACCACCACCACCACCGCCCCCATTCCGCCCTTCTTCTTCTTCTTCTTCTCCTCCTCCTCATCCCCAGCAGATTTAATTTGGACTGGGCTCAAAAATCGAGGGAGCCGCGTGGATTTGTTTACATTGAATGGGCAGGCTAGGGCCCAGAGCCGTGGGGGCCCCATCCATTCATTAATATACAGTGAGGATTTCTGTCTAAATTACTGCTGCTCAGTCCACACCGCCGCACGCTTTGAAAGGGCGTCTCAGGTGGCCAGCGGCACAAACGTGACAGCACATATGCAGAGAAGACAAGACCGGAAAAAGAACAGAAGAAGAAGAAATATGTAACATACATAAAAGAGGAGTCAGGGAAAGAAAACAAACCCACTCCTCTCTGATATGTGATGTGTTTATTATTTATTTGCTTACTACAAAAAAAGGTCCCCCAAGTTCCCCTGCTGCGGATTGGGGGTGGGTGGGGTGGGGTAGTGGGGGGTGGTGGGGTTCATTTATTGTGTATGAAAAAAAGAAGGAAAGAAAGAAAGGAAAAAAAGGGGGGGGGGAGAGGAAAAAAAATCATCCCCAAGTACAACAAGAGACGAACAGTTAGTGCTGATTTTCATTTGCATAAATTTTCATACATTTTGGTGAAAATAATAGCGGAGCCGAGCACAGCTCCTGCTCAGTCGAGGCAGAGAGAAGAAAATCTCAGGGAGCACCGAGTCGTAGGAAAAAGACACACAGATAACCGTTTCCAGGCTGCACGCGAGCAACGGTGAAGCTTATTTATTACCCCCCACCTCACACACACAACACCACCCAACACACACTCACACACACCGACACCGACCATCACTGGCACCAGCTCCACTTTTCTCGGACACGAGGTAAGTCAATAATCATCGATAACCTTTGCTTATTTATTTATTTGTTTGTTTATTTTTTGCGCACGAGGGATGTTTTGGAGTTCATCGCCTTCTTGTTCTTGTTCTTCTCGCTCGTGGCTTGCTCTCTTTCCCCCACCTCCACCACCACCTTGTCTGTCCTTTAAACGACATTTCAGCCTGCACTCGTATCCTCCTCCTCCTCTTCTTCTTCTTCTTCTTCTTCTTCGTCTTCTTGTTTTTGGTTTCCTCTCTCCTGAATGCGTAAAAATCAATATGCTCGCGCAGTTTGCGCCCCAGCCATCCCGTCTCTTTCTTTCCTTTCTTTTTCTCTTTTTTATTATTATTATTTTTTTAAATTAAATATATATATAAATATCGGGCAGATGCTGTGCTGCTTTGTAGCGAATGTCCACCGGAGAAAAGTGCAATCAATCACATTTTTAAGCAGGGAGAGAGAGAGAGAGAGTGGAAACCCCTCAGTGGAATCCTCCAGAGAGTTCGCGTAGGCAAGTGCAGTATGAAAATGGGTTTTAATACGAATCGATCTTCCACTGCTGTGGAGTTTGTTTAAAGTTTAGGAGAGAGGAGAGAAAAGGGCTTAAAAATAGCGCGGATTTGAATGTGGATGACTTCAGATTTTGTCGTGTGTGTTTTGGTTTTTGGAGATCTTCCAGTGAGCGTCAAGAAAAGTTTTCTTTCTTTCTTTCTTTTCTTTTCTTTTTTTTTAAAATAAAGGCAAAGAGAGGAGTGGGCACAGGGAATAAGTTTGTGTTATATTTTACAGTCGAAGTTGATTTGAGGAGCTGCTGAGTGTGACTTTTTTTTCTTTTCTTTTTCTCACGGGTTAAAAAACCTCTTTCCCTTCATTGATTCAGGGGGCAGAGCATTTCTGAGCCCAGCGCTTGGTAGCCATGGTGAGCCCAATAAAAGAGGGGGAACACTGGTCGCATTAAGCTGTATGTTTGTGCACTGGAGTCGAGATGAAAAGGGGCTCGGTGTGTCCTGGGCCAGCAGCACCGGTGCTGCCCGCTCCAAGCGGGAGGAGAGGGGCAAACAAACCCGCTTGATTTGTCTGTTATTCCTTTTTAATTATCGCCTTCTAACGATGTTTTCTCATTTATGACTCATCTCAGATATGCGCAGAAGTTAACTTAAAATTAATTAGAACAAAAATCAACACCAGATTCTTGACTCTTCATGATTTTTATTAATGTAAATAATTTTTGTAATTTATTAAATAAATTCTCGTGTATTTGAGCTGCATTAAAGGCCTCTCCACCTCTCGGCGCTCCGGTCGGTGCTGAGGTGGAGGAAACGGTTTGCAAGTCGTTGTTGGCCTCGTTGATTGAGAATGATGAAGCTGCCGCCAGGTGTCGCGCTCACTCATGGTGCAGCTTACACTGCAACCCCCCTCCAAAAAAACCCCTGCCTCTTTAATATTTGTGGGCTTTATTTGAATTATTTAAGAGTTTATTTCATTGAATCACAAACCTAGTTACCTGATTTTACCCCCCCACCCCCCCTAAAAAAAAAAGAAAAAAAAAGAAAATTGTAATTCTGCAAGAAAAAAATGGACCCTTTCACCCTCACCTTGCTGTGTGCCAGTGCATTTTTTCAGCTCTCCCCCTTCTGTTTTTTAAAGTATGAGTGACTGAATGGCATGAAATG